TAGACGTTTTATAAAAGACTTTGCAAAGATTGCAGCACCACTGAATTCAATGTTATGGGGGACATCGAAACGACGAACTCAACCAGCTGCAGGTAAAGCAGAGCGTTGGGCATGGGGGGAGATGCAAGAAAGCGCCTTCAAGAAATTAAAGGAGAGCCTCCTGCAAGCACCCCTATTAGCATATGCTGATTTCCAGCTGCCATTTGTGCTGTATACGGATGCCTGTCAGACGGGTTTGGGAGCAGTACTTGCTCAGGTTCAAGAAGGGAAGGAGAGAGTAATTGCTTATGCAAGCAGAAGCCTACGCCCTACAGAGAGGAACGATAAAAACTATAGCTCATTTAAATTAGAACTGCTGGCTTTAAAATGGGCTATAGCGGAAAAGTTCAGGGACTATCTTGCTGTGTCTCCCTTTACTGTGTTCACAGATAATAATCCGCTGGCTCACCTGAATACGGCTACGCTGGGGGCAGTGGAGCAACGATGGATGGCTCAATTGGCTGGATTTCAGTTTGATGTGCGCTATAGACCAGGACGGACGAATGGAAACGCTGATGCCCTCTCGAGATGGCCTGGGAAAGAGACAGATGGCCAGTCTATAGAGGATGAAGCAGTGCCATGTGGTGAGCCGGGATATGTACCATCTGAAGTGGTTCATGCTTGTGTCCATGCCTTTGTTCCAGTAGTTAAGGACCAGGAGAAGGAGCCAAGCAAAGAACGAGAGCCACAGTTGACCCAGGAGGAGTGTGTCGGACCTAGTTTGTTGGATGACTGGGTGAGGGCACAGCGGGCGGATCCAGTGCTGTCACGATTGTGGATGTATATGGACAGAGGAAGAGGCCCTGGACCAAGAGAACGAGCAGCAGAGGATCGACCTACTCAAGTGGTGCTGCGACAGTGGGGTCGTCTGGGCACCGATCGAGGATTGTTGTGCCGTGAGGTATGTGATCCAAAGACATTTGACAAACTGAAACAAGTTTTGGTGCCTCAGAGTTTGCAGAACCAAGTCCTAGAATGGGTGCACGATCGTGCTGGACACCTTGGAGTGGAAAAAACTCTCGGCTTGGCCCGTCGCCGTTTCTTTTGGCCGGGGATGACACAAGGAGTGGAGAAGTGGTGTCTTAAATGTGTTCGATGTAATCTGCATAAGACCCCAGCTAATAAAGTGAGTGCCCCGCTTGTATCCATAGATTCAGATTATCCATTACAGATTGTGTCTGTGGACTTCCTGTCACTGGAGCCTGCGCGTAGTGGGAGGTGTAACATTTTAGTTATGATGGACCATTTTACCCGTTATGCTGTGGCAGTGCCAACCATGGATCAAACAGCGGTGACAACTGCAAGGGCGTTATGGGAACATTTCATTCAGCAGTTTGGGGGATTTGATCAGTTGCACTCTGATCAGGGTCCCAATTTTGAGTCTAGAGTCATAAAGGAACTGTGTGGATTATATGACATCAGAAAGTCCCATACAACACCCTATCACCCTGCAGGGAATGGACAATGTGAGCGCTTTAATCGAACATTGTTGAGCATGCTGGGTACATTAAGGGATGACCAGAAGGAAAATTGGGACCAGCATGTAGCAGAGATGGTACAAGCCTACAATAATACCCCCCATCCATCTACAGGGTATGCCCCTTACTTTTTGATGTTTGGACGATATGCTAAGTTGCCCATGGACATTATGTTGGGTCGGGGAGATGGGTTTTCAGGAACAGTTGGCAGCTGGGTGCATCATCACCATAAAAGACTGGTAACTGCCTATAGTCAAGCAAGAAAACAGGTCCAGAAGGCTCAACTTCATCAAAAGAAGGGGTTTGATCGTAGGGTAAGAGGGGAACCTTTGCTAATAGGACAGAGGGTAATGGTTCTTAATAAGAGGGCCAGAGGGAAAGGTAAATTGGAGGATAGGTGGGAGAGGAATACATATGTGGTTATATCTCAACCTAATCTTGACATACCAGTTTATGTGGTAAAGAAGGAAGGGGGTAATTGTGATGAGAGGGTGTTGCACCGCAATATGTTAAGTCCCTGCAAATTTGAGGTAACCTCACATTCAGAGAATGAAGTAGGGGCGCAAGCTCCTGCTCTTCAGGTTGATCCATTGAACAGTAATTGGGGTATGTATCCTTGGGTGGGGGGCTGTCTAACAGATTTGCCTGCACCTGTAAGGGAAAATGAAAGGACTGTTATGGACAACACTGAATCAACTGCTCAGACTATACAGAGAGAAGGACTCTCTAGCCCACCTGATGTATCAGTGGAGGGTTTGAGGCGATCTGCACGGGCCACCAAGGGCCTGTTGCCTCAGCGTTACAGAATTTAAGTGGAAATGTGTGGACACATTTTGAGTAGGGGGGGTGGATGTAAGCGGTGCTTCCCAAACCAAAATGATGCGTACTGGCGTCATTTGCGTCTATGACGTTTCCAGGAGATGAACAGCTGAGTTCAATTTGTAATGAGTCCAAGCCTTTAAAAGCGATTGTAGTTTCTGGGTCAGGAGGGGTTTTTCTTGGTTTTTGATTGCAGGTGCTGCTGAGCCGCTGGCCAAGGCTATCGTGCCGGGACGTGGGCATGATGTTGTGCGCGAGCGAATGACTGGGAGGGATAATTGGTAGTGCTGGGGTTTCCCCGGACTAAAGTTTCGGCGGCCGCTGTTGACTTCCAATCGCTGTATCCCACGTCCGGTAGCGGGTAAGCGGGCCAGCAGCACAATACTGTTGCGGGGTGTGTGTATTGCATTTTGTTCGCCGGGAGTTTGAGTGAATTTGATTGCTCCCGGCGCTTGTAGTCTGTCTGTTTGTGCGTGTGTGTGTGTGTGTGTGTGTGTGTGTGTGTGTGTGTGTGTGTGTGTGTGTGTGTGCGTGCGTGCGTGCGTGTGACGGGGATGAGCGCAGGCTAGCATCACGCTCCATACAGGAAATGTTAAATGACGACGGCTTGATATTTAGCTGGAGTGGTATTGATGGTAGCTTATGATTTGATTGCTGTGTGGAGTCTATTTATGGGTGTTATTTATACATTTATATTTATGAGATTTACTGTGTGGTGTATTACAACTCTGGGTTGATGTGAAATGATGATGTGTTGCACAATTACGGTTGTTACCCCTTGTTAAATGCCTTGTGGTGGTCATTTTAATTGCCTTACCTAATAATTTTTATACAGTCCGCTAACAATCTTTACATCATGAACTTTATGTCCTTTTGATTCCCTACCTGCTGCTCCCCTTGTGTGGAATTTTAATCTTTAAGATTATTGTATAAAATAAAAGTGAAATTAGTATTTAAATGAATTGAGTGTTTGACGTTTACTTGATTATTGTGGCCCAAAATAAATACTGTATTTTGTCCAGCAAAGAACTTGTGTTGTGTGTGAATACTTTATGCCCTTTTTGGGAGGGTTACATAGGGGAGTTCTTCGGGCATCAGTGTTAGCATTAACCATAAGTCAAGGGGTCAAGTCATTAAGGTGGGGTCCATGCATAATGTGCGTTAATTGTGTATTTAAATGTATTAGTAGCCTACTTGTGTAGAAATGGATATGGAATTTGTTAAAATACAGATTTTGTTTGTTTGCTTGTCATGACCACACCCATATTTGCCACATAACTATGGCAGTATGGACCCTGCCAGGAATAACTTTTTATCCCCTTTTAAACTTTGCACATGCATCTAATTTGCTTTAAGCCCTGTAACCACAAGTCTCCTAAGCTTTCTGTACATTATGCAGTATTGACGTAATCGGTTCAATTATTGTGTATTGCCTAACATGTCATCTTTTGGCTTCAGGTTTTGCTGTGCACCGTGATCAGGATGTTCTACACCGCCTTTGCCACTCTCTTTTTACTTGGTAAATTTCAATAAAGGATTATTATTATTATTATTATTATTATTATTATTATTATTATTATTATTATTATTATTATTTGAGTGTCTGTTTTGTACCAGTATTCCTAAAAGGTTACACCTCAAAACTAAGCTGTGTTATGATTGTTTTTTTTTTAGGTGTTGTTACTGCCCAGACATCCCTTAGGATTACATCCTGCTTGACTAAAGACCAAAACCTTCAAATGTCCTGCACCTTCACTCCAGCTCCAGACACCAAGCTCTCAAAAACATGCTACTACATGACTGACAATAAATTGATTGGCAGTACCAACAGCAGCAGCACACCAGACAGCACGTTCAGGAACCGTGCCAATGTCACCATTACTGATAACAAGTGTGACCTGTATTTGAAGGGTTTACCAGATAGCAAACCTGCAAACTACACTTGCTTTATCAGACAGACTGCCGCACCGGTGTCAATCATTCAAACTGTGGACAAGAGTAAGAGCAAACTCTAACTTGGTGTCTTTCATTATTATTATTTGTATTTTTTGTGTGTAACTTCCATAAATGCTAAATACCATAATTACTTGGAACTGACAAGCAAGTTCCTCTGTTGCATGGAAATGAATGTGACTGGCAGATGGTGATCAGGCTGATGTTCTTCTTTTTACTTCCTCCCAGGTAAGCTTCAGACCTGTTCAGCGTGGAGTGTTTTGCAACACAGTGGAGTAGCGTTCCTGTTGGCCTTCCTCACTTTCCCACTGTTGTCAGAGCTTCTGTGAGCATGAATTGGATCTCCTGAAATAACTCTACTCCCACAAAACTTATTCTCAATCCTCTATCTTGCAGAAGTTTCATATAATTCTGAAATCCAAAGTCTTCTGACTGTTTTAATTTGTGTGTGTACACTGGTTCAGGTTGTGCTGATGTCAAACACTGTTATATCATGCATGTCCTTTTTAAATAACATGTGCTGTTGTAAATGTGAACCAAATGCTTGGCATTGTTTTAATTATTCTGAAATAAAATATTATTGTACTCCCTATTGGTGTGGTGAAGAGTCAGGTCATAAACATGTCCTTATAAACCCTACTTAACACACTGGCACAACAGTGAGGCTGATGGCGCCCTCTAGTGCTAACATTTAAGCTTTAAAGGTTGCGGCACATGCGCAGGAGTGCCTCTGTCTCTTGAATGTTTGCTGCTAAAGACAAACGGGTAACTCATATTAGATGTTAACCAGGTTATTGTTTTATTCATTTTGGTGGGCACGACACCGTAATTACTCTTGTAGATGGGTTTTAGCTCATTTTTTTGCGAGTTGTTTGCATTTCTCTTTGTTTACCTGGCGTTAGCTTGTATGCTAAATGCGGCGGTGTGTTGGTAGTTAATCGTGACTAATTCTTGTGCTGCTGATATAATTAACCTCGCATCTATGTGTAGAAAGTGGCTTATGGAGAACTTGTATCTTTATCAGTTAGGATGGTGCGCTTTTTATAGCTTTGCATGAGGTTTGTCAACGTTTTGGTAGTATGGTGGGACTTTTAACGCAGCGGCGTAAAAATACTAACGTTAACTTATGTCGACGCCACACCTGCTTTGAGCTGTTGGGACATTTTAATATTCGTTTGTATCATGCGTTAGTTGCAAACATTGAATATTATTGTCCATTTTTTACAGTGGATTTTTACGTTTGAGGTCATCAGCTGAAACACAGATCAATATTTGCTCACAAATATGACGTAAGTTTCTAAATATCAAACTTGAGGCACTGTTTATTTTTTTAACACTCCTAAAGTTATGTTTACATTGTTGTATAAACATGTACCTTAAGCTTGCTTATGTAAATTTAATGAAACTATAATAATATATGCATAATCTTCTTTCTTTAAAAAAAAAAAAAAAAAAGAAAACGGAAGGGTTCTGATCCTGAAGATTCTCCTATACTGCAGGACGGTGAGATGAAATTTAATAATTTTTGTCATTTAGTGTTTTGTTTTGTTTAGGAATATTAACAAACATGTTTGGGTAGGGCTCTTTAGTTTCGATTTAACTGTGACCGATTGCAGTCTGTGTAGCACCATCTAGTGCTAAACCGAGTGTGTGTAAACACATGAACCAAATGGCTTTTGACAGCCTGCCAAAAAAAGTAAATTTTCATTTATTTCATTGCCACCTTATTTAAAATTTGTCAAATTTCATTAGTTTGAAACGAGTAAATTCTGGCAATAAGTGGTTAAACTAATGAAAGTTATGTCGTGTTCTAGATTGATTTAGTTAAATATTGAATCAGTTAAATTCTAAATCAGTGTTTCACAAACTGTCAGATGAGACACAACTGCTTGTTCTCCAAGTTATATGCAGTTTAACCAGCAGTAGATTCTTGTGAGGGAACAAACTTGTAACACTTTATAATACTCTAGATGTGAGCTCATAAAAATAATAAATTACCTTTTTTTTTTTTTTTGCAATAGACATAATTCATATGTAGTTTACTGACGGAAAATCCCCTTTTTTTTTTTTTATAAATTTAGAATTAAAAAAATTACTAGTCATCAAATTAAAATCAACTGTAGGATCTATAAAGTTTAATTGGTACATTTCATTAAGCCTCAAATACTGTTACTGTAAACTTTACTGTGGCCAATTGGGGTGATTTGTTCTGCCGCACACTAGATTTACAAAATGTATATCATACTACACACTTAAGACAAACTTTTAACGGCATTAATATGACTAAAAAACAGCTACTACCTCTTCCCATTAAAATTCAGCAAATCAATCGCACAAGGAACAAATGAAAAGTTAAATCTGTTGGTCCTTGCCAAAGAGACCCTTTACCGAGATGCTGAGGGAAGTATTTGAAATGAATCAAAAAGAGGATGGACTATATCAGATGTAATCTGGGCTGTGTTTAACACCTGGCTTTCATACAACTAGCATAACCCTGGTGCTTTAACACCTTATACTTTGCTGCAGGTATTTGAAACTTTAGACATTGAGTTCTTCTGTTTTACTTTTATAGAAGCAAACCAACAAATCAATTTTAAATGGATCCTATATATCTATAAATATAAATCTTCGCTAATTTTCGCAGACAATAAAGTCTTTGTTGTCCTGTCCTACATAGTCTTTCCATGTTTTCATTAAAATTTAAATTATCAATAATAGTACCTACGTACCTATAACTTTCCACTAATTCAATCTAGTGGTTATCAACCATAGTATCTTAAACTACGTCCTGTTTCCACCGCAAGGTCTTTTTTGTTTTCTCTGTGTTTAGAAATAGACCAGCCACTCGACACAAATGTAGATCTACAAACTGAAAACTCACTCTGAGTTTCTTAATGATATTTACTAAGTAGGGTTGTCGCGATACCATTAATTCACATTACGATACTATACCAGCTGAAGTATCATGTTTAGTACTGCAGTACTGTAACTCATAACTCAAATCTATGAACTAAAGAAAATTGTCAGAAATACTGTATTATGTTATATTAGGATTACTTGAATTGAATTCATAATACTCTTATTGTTGAAAAAATATTGCTTTTCACTTCACCTAAAATGCATTTATTCTTTTTGTTTATTTTGTAGATAACTGACCAACAAAAAATACATTAAAATAAAGATACAAATTATACAGAACAAACTTTGTTACAAAAAGAGCAAATTAGGCTTCATGAAGTGGACAAAAATTGTTTTCTGTTGCTCTTGAGTTTTTCATTCATTTTTTTTTAGTCTTATCAGGTAAGAATCCAAAGTAATTCAACTGAATTCCAACTGAAGCATTAGGAAAATGTGCAACAGGCTACCATAAAAGGCATTAATTCTACACAGTTTTGCAACCTTAAAGTGCTCCACAGATTATTCAAATAAAATGGTCTATTGTTGCATAACAATGTGAGCATTTTAGTGAGTTTTCCACATGCAACATTAAGTATTGTAGACAGACCGTTAATGATGATGCAATCGTTTACAAACCACAGTGGCACCGCCAGTATTTTGGAGCCATAGTATCATGATACTACAATAATACCGGTAAACCACGCAATCCTAATACTAAGTACATCCACACATTGAAATTCAACTGTCCAAGTACTGAGCCTTGGTATAAACCACGTTGAACTTTTGATTTATATGGTGCCTCTACATTTTCATGTATGATTTGAAGCTTGCCAAATCAAAATTTATTCCAACAAAACTGTCGGCCATGACCATGAAATCTTTGTCAGTTTTTGTTCTTTTTATCCCATGCATTATTGAGTGCCCAAAACTCTGAATTGATTCTTTTAAAACTATATAATTTACCCAGACCTCATTATGTGGTCTTGTTAGGGCATAATGAATGTTTTTTTGCCTCACTGGTCATAAGGGTTTGGATTATCTATGTGTGTGGGATTACAGATCTGGAAGCAAATTAAACATGGTCTCTCCAACGAGACTAAAAAACACATTCAGTGGTCAGTTAAACTATCACTGATCTAAGACATGACCTCTCAACTGCAAAAAAAACCTTATACTAATTAATAGTTTCTAAGGAGTTGTTGTTACCTTACAGTAACTTCCAGGTATTGCTTTATCAGGTGTTGCTGACACAACAGATGATTCACTTGCAGTCACAGCCATCCAATCAGCTGCTGCATTTTCAACAGACCAGCAAATTAAGTATCATTTTCTAAAAGCGGAAGCAACAGGGGGACAGGTAAATGGCATATTCACACACTGTACACATAGATAATGAGATATGATTATTCAATCTCTGATCCCAATGGTTCAGGTTACATATCGCGTCATCCACTTGGCTGATGGGCAGGTCGAAGGCCATGCAGATGGAGCTGCAGCAGTCAGTGTGGTGACTGGGTTTCCCACAGCAACACAGGCAGCCACACCTCCTGTAAGTATTATATCTGGTCTTTTCTACCTATAGATAGACTGAAAAAAAGGTTGTTTCAGCAGGGTAATGTGCGCATGTGTTTATAGACTGTAATGTCGGAGAGTGTGGAGGGAGAAACATCTGAAACTCAGTACTACTATCCTGCCACCCTCTCTGACACAACTGCTGGTGCCATGGTAACCGGTCTCCAGACAGCTGATTCGGTACTATCTCAGCCTACTTCTGCAGGTAAAATGCATTAGTGATGGGGAAGAAATGTAACCCCTTGCTTTGCATGCTTTGAGGGCCTACTCACACTATGCCATCCGTACCGTGCCCAGGCCCGTTTCCCGGATCGTTTGAGAAGTGTGAGTGCGCTGAATCGCGCTCAAGCACGGTTCACTTGGCCGGCCCTGGCCCGGTTGGGAGAGGTGTGCCTGAGCGCGGTACACTTGGCCCGAAACCGAAAGCTAGACGTGACTTTTAAGTGACTGTTTGATATGGATTTATTAATCATTCTTACTGTTCAGTGAACGCAAACTGCCGTAGTTTATTAAAGACGCAAACTCCTCACAGCACGCCAGCTGCGCGCCTTCAGCAGACCTCCTCATTCCTGCAGCACAAGAGCTTTATGATTGTTTATGAGCTCCAAAAGTGGCGGATCTGTTCGGCGAAATATCTGACTGCGTGTCCCCGCATCCCTAAGGACTGTTTGGCGAAATATTTGATGGCATATCAAACGACTGAAACGATATAACTAGAGAAATCTCCACTGTGCTGCTGAGTGAGAGCGTATGGCAAGCCGTTTTAGCATTTAAACCTTGTTCTGACTATCCATAAATATATTTAGAGATATCTCTAATTATATTTTTAATAGTCATAATTATAATTCGACTAGTCAGAATGACAATTAGAGATATCTGCAATTACAATTGTACTAGTACGAAATCAGATTGGAGATATCTGCAAATATATTATGACTAGTCATATTCCTCCATTGACTTCCATTGAAAAATATTTGCAGATATCTCTAAATGAGTTTTGACTCGTCAAAAATCCAATTCAAGATATCTACAACTGTAATTCGACTATTAGTAAATTAATTAGAGATATCTTCAAATATATTTGTAAATATCTCTAAATATGATGAATTAAAGACATCTCCAAATGTATTATGACTAGTAAAAACTCAGAGATATCTCTTATTACAATTGTGACTAGTCAAAACTCATTTAGAGATATCTGCAAATATTTTTCAATGGAAGTCAATGTAGGAATATGACTAGTCAGTCATAATATATTTGCAGATATCTCCAATCTGATTTCGTACTAGTACAATTGTAATTGCAGATATCTCTAATTGTTATTCTGACTAGTCGAATTATAATTATGACTAGTCAAAATATAATTAGAGATATCTCGAAATATATTTATGGAGTCAGAACAAAGATTTAAATGCTAAAAAGGCTTGCCATAGAGAGCGCTTCTGAACAGCGCAGCAGCGATGACGTAAGCGTGCCGAGGCCCGATATGGTGTGAGCGCGGGCCGTCGGGGGAGACGGGAGGGGGGACAAGCGTGCTTTGGCCCGGTTCGAGGCAACTGTACCTACTGTGAGTACGGCCTGAAACAGTGAATCATGTTGCGAAACAGCACATTCTAGGGACAACAAAAATGTACACAAAACACACGTTTGAATTGATCTTTCCAAACATATTGCAAATTTTAAATTGAAAGAGAAACCTATAAATGCACTTAGCGTATGTTATAGCATTGAATGTTAAGTGTATACATGAGATGTTTTCTTTAGAAATTTTCAGGGATTGTAACTGTTCAACAAGAGACTATTATTAACTATTGTTCCTTTTAATTTAGCAAATTTCTCATTAAAACGTCTACAAACTCATAAAACTCATCTGAGATCAGGTAAAAACTATGAAACCTTTTCAATGATTCACCACTGGGGGCAATCTGAATGAAGAATTTATTGGTGTTACACAGTGCGCCCTCAAGTGGAGAACCATTCAACTTTCAAAACTGTTGTTATCTACCGAATCTGACATCAACTTGACAATACAATACATGCGCCACTGATTTAAAGCCAAAGGTTTGTTAAAAAAAAAAAAAAAAAAGTTTCATAGCTTCATGAAGCAGTGATTCAAAAGCAGCCATCATTCCAACTTCAAAACAACTCATTTGACACAGTTGTTGGAGTATGGGGGTTTGCAGGGTTTTTTGAGTGTGTATATTTTGTTAGATTTAGCAAGAATTTACAGAGAATTCTAAAATAACTCATAACTTTTAAAGGGTCATGAAACCTCCCTCTTTTTGTTCAAGTCTACCTCAGAGTTTAAAAAAAAAATGCTACAAGATGGGCGTGGAGCGCTGTGAGCAGAAGGGAGAAGTGGGCATGGCTGGCAGTGCAGGGAAAACGAGGGAGACGAACAACTGATTGGGTCATAAAATCAGACAAAAAAAAATCTGACACAAATCGTGAGGACAAGCATGATTTTATAGTTTACTAAAGTTAAAATGCAAAGAAATTAAGTAATTTAATGCCCTGTTACATAAACAATGGGCTATTCGTAATTTCATATAATATATTTGCATCACCACAATTTTTTATATAATTATGAAGATAATCATGTTTATATAAACGCTATATATTAGGAGGACGTCTCTCCTCAATCCCCTGGACTGAATGCAGACACAGTGGATAGCAGTGCAGCAGGTTTCCCTATTTTAGCCATTAGCCCTGCTGTTAATCTGGAAGATTTTACATGTGCGAACACAGCTGCATGGATAGGTGACTTGTCTGATGATTTGTCGAATTCAACTGATAAAACACAAAGTCTACCATTCTCCAATTCTTGTACTGCTCAACAAAAATAATTCCTACACACAAACAGTTTTGGTGTATTGGCCCTGACAGCATCGCGGGAAAAGCCATGCAACAAACTTTGTGGATCATGAAAACTAACACATACAGCCCTTCATGAACAGCTAAATACTGCATGACGTGCGCAGCTGTGGTCTTACAGCTTGGAAGGTCTGTCATCAGAAACACATGCTCTCATGGATGACTAAGAAGCAGGGTCTACTCATTGGATAAGAAAACTTAGTCTATGAATAATAATGATAAACTGATGCGTCATCACTCTTAGCAGTTGAGCACTACGTCACCAATTTTATCCCGTCTCAATAATGATTTTAAACCGGAAAATCTTTTTTTTAGGTACTTAAGGGTTTCTAGAACCTTTAAAAAACAAAAACTTACTGTTCAAATTTAAATGCTGTTCTTTTGAATGTTCGGTTCATCAAAGAATCTTGAAAAATTTAGCCTCATAAATATTAGCTGCAGACATTTTCAACATTATTAATATACTTGTTTCGTGACCTTATCAGTTGCTTTAGTAATCATGTTGCACTGAAGATAAAAAAGTAATGGCTGATAAAAAGCCAGCTTTGAAACCATAGAAAAAATCATTAGAATACATATTTAAATATTTCACAATATTGCTGTAGTTTTTTTTTTTTTTTAACTGTGATGTACATAACAGGCAAATACAAGAAAACATAAAAATGGTTATAATTAGGGTTGTAACGGTATGAATTTTTCACGGTATGATAATCGTCTAAAACAATACCACGGTTTGACGGTTTCGCGGTATACGGTATGTTACAAAATAATAGAACAGTGAAGCAAATTTGACTTTTTCCAAATAATATATTTTTAGTTACTATAAACAACACCACTTACAATGAACAAATAAAAATAAGAAAATAATAAATAATGTGTCAAAGTCCAAATAAAGTCCAAATAAACATGGTGCAAATCCTCAGTAAAAAAATAGATATAAATATTTACTATACTATAAATAGTTACATAACGAAACTAGATTCAATATGGAACATCCTTAGGTTTTATGTGCCAGCATGGATATGGTTGTCTATCGATATGGATTTGGATTTGGTTGCCTGCAATGCAGACAAACAGCTGCATCTTCATTTGCGTCTTTTGAAAACAGCAAGAGCAGCAGTTCGTCTTTGCTGTGTCACTGTTTTGTCATGTTTCTGTGCTGCTGTGCATGCAAAAGTACTTAGTATGAGAATTATTTCATGCAAAACTTTTTTTTTTTGCGTTTTATTTAGCCGTGCATAAATGTATGCCTATCTCTTATTCCGTGTTGTTCAAAAAGCTTGGTCCACAAACAAAAGCGAAACCTATGCTTATTGGTTGTGATATAGCGAGTTTAAACCAATCTGGGCATGGAGGAGGGACAATGCATCAATGTATCATGTCTGATTTGTCTGGAGACACAGTGACGAGCGTTTCTTTGTCAAATCAGCGTTGTCAAATGTTGATGACGTAACTGCACTGATTCCGGAGCCTCTGAAAGTCCGCGAATGTTATGTGATACAGCACTGGAAAGCTGAGATTCTCTTCTTTATGCCAATCTTTGAATTGTATGAATCTGATCAGTGGATCAAAAGTTATTAAACATTTAAGAGCAATACTTATTTTTAGCCGCGGGCGGCTGTCTCGGTCTTTAAGGTTTAAAACCGTTGATATGCAATTGTTCATGGTATGATAATCGTGCACGTTCAAATCGTGGTAAACCGTCATACCGGTATATTGTTACAACCCTAGTTATAATACACTGTTAGTTAATCTAATATGGCACTATATAAGCTAATAGATGAAGAATATCCAGTTTCAGTTAACTATGTACATTTATGCAGTTACAGCATATAGACTCTGTTGCCTTTCGTCCTTTTTTCTCGCAGGTCAGCTCTATGTAATGATGTCACCGCAGGATGTTCTCGCCACGACGCAGCCGAGGTTGTCATCTCACATCACATAAAAAACATATTTTTAATGACTGTAATCTTTTTGTTCTCAACCAATCCTATATCCTTCACAGTAAACCAGGATCCCAGCGTGTTTCCAGGGATGACAAGCGGCGGGCTCAACACAATGAAGGTTGTTTCATTGGAAATCAGCAGCTCCACCTCATTATTCATTCCCTGCTGATTTATTTCCCATTAAACTGAAAGCGATCCATTGTTGTTTGTTTTGTTTTTTTTATTCAGTGGAACGCAGACGGAGGGACAAGATCAACCAATGGATTGTTCAGCTTTCCAAAACCATCCCAGACTGCACTTATGATGCAAAAAATAATCAAGTAGGTTTAGTTAGCAGATAGACTAGCAGCATACAGTTTCAATGTTTAATTCAAAGGTGTTATGCATTCTTCAGCTATCAATTATGCGTCCTCCATACAGTAACTTTCTATAGTAAAAAAACAAAACACAATGAGATGCAGATAATTTTTAATATGATATATTTTACTTTTGTTATTGCTTTTCTGCCTCTTTGGATTCTGAAACGTTTTTGCTCTTTCCTGTAGAGTAAAAGTGGGATCTTGTCAAAGGCATGTGACTATATCCAGGAGCTGCGTCAGAGCAATGCACGACTGGAGGATGAACTTAATACTGCCGATAGACTGAGGATGGACAATCAGCTTCTAAGAAAAGAGGTACTTCACTTTGCAATACAAGAACTTCACACTACAAAATTAAGTGAAATGTGAAAGTTAACATTTTAGTTAAAACTTTTGGGGGAAAAAAATGGATGTTGCGATTAGTTTTTGTGCAGATATATGTTGCAATATGGAAACAATTTTACCAGATTGTTTGAATGGCTCTCTTAAAGGAAAAATATATTTTATTATTAGATATTGTAGTGAATTGCATCTGCATAAAATGGCTCAGTGGTTAGCACTGTCGCCTCACAGCAAGAAGGTTGCTGGTTTGAGTCCTGGCATGGCGGGTTGGCGTTTTTGTGTGGACTTAGCATGTTCTCTCCGTGTTCGCGTGGGTTTCCTCCGAGTGCTCCAGTTTCCCCCACAGATCAAAGACATGCGCTATAGGTAGGGATGTAATGATTCACCGTGAGCAGGTTTAAAATCAATTCAAATGTGTGACGATTCAAATCAATAGAAATGTTTAAAAAGATTGCAATACATTATTTGAACAATGGGGGCGCTGTGTTTACAGGCACAAACTCTTTACCCGCACATTGGCGGTGAGCAAGAGGTGGGGCAGCAGAGTAAAATGACAGCAGTGAAGTGCGCCAGACACAAAATCTGTGCAAATACTGCCTGAACGCTGTTTACTTGCGCGAACAGAACAACAAATATGATGCTCATAAGCTGTCAGCACAGTGAAAAAAAACTACTGTCACAGATTTCAATATGCAAAAAAAAAAAACTAAGGCAAACCATGCACACTGGATGATTTGCAGCTTCGTTTGCTCTGAAAAGTGATACGAAGATCACGCTGTGCATCAGTGTTTTCACAGCAAAAGTGTGAAGATGTTTTTCAGACTCCAAGAGAAATTTGTTCTGTTACAGAAGGAAACAGATATCAGATTATTTTTACTCTCTCCTTTTCAAATTATTATTGAATATTTAAAATTTTCAAGATTATCTCTTCCTAAGTGTATCACAATGGTACTTATACTAATTAATTATGCAAGTAATATTAATTATTCACCTTCATAATCATGTTCAACACCTGTCTCTATCCTACTATATCTAGTCATTTTATAATCGGGTTTTTATGCCAGTGGCCAGTCCTATTTGACCACCTCTGTACACCCTGCTTCCTGGTTTAGGAAAGGCTTACCTCTTCACACCTCTTCATGCCAGCCATCTCATTGCTTATGCCAGAAAACATATGCTGATATTTCTTTTTAAAAATGTAAAATCTCAGCCACCGTTTTAGTTTGTTTATAGTTTGTATTATTCTATTTTTTTTTTTTTTTTTGGTATTTTGCAAAAATGTGCAGCATTTATTTAAAAAAAAAATTAAATCTCTTCATCTCAAATTTCTTTCAAATAATTTTGTAAAAAAATCGTGACCAAATTTGTGAAATGTAAGCTTCGTATCGAATCGTGGGTCAGGTAAATCGTTACATCCCTAGTTATTGGTGAATTGGATGAACTAAATTAGCCATAGTGGTTGAATGTGGATGAATGCGACTGTGTAAGGGTGTTTCCCAGTACTGGGTTGTAGCTGGCAGGGCATCCACTGTGTAAAACATAATCTGAAATAGTTGGCGATTCATTACGCTGTGGTGACCCCTTATAAATAAGGAACAAAGCAGAAGAAAAATAAATTAATGAAATTGAATGAACAAATTACATGCAAAGATACAAAAGAAATAAACAGTGATTTATAGCTTTCCAAGGAGTCTAAAAGTGTTCATGTACAGAAAGTGAATGATCAAAAAAAAAAATAACACGGTAATGTTAGAATTTATTGTGCCTGAATGCTTAAACTCTTTCATGCTTACAAATTCACACTTTCCATCAAGGTGTTGATGAAAATATATTGTGCATCTCTAGAGCTGATTTTGTGAAATATAAAAACAGAAACTGTACAAACTTGACTCAAGCTTTTCATGTATGTTTCATAAATTACATAAATTGAAAAAATAAATGTTTAATTTGTTTGGTCTTAACCAAAACAAAAGGTAATGCATTCACTCCTGGTTTGGGTTTGCATTCTCATGAAATTTTTTAAGACCGAATCTAAAGGCACAGAATAGAAAATCAAATGTATGCTGACAGCAATGAGCAAAAACAGTAATGCTGTTTTTATGTAGATAATTTTTGCTTGTGAAATGTTTCAATGAGTCAATACAGCACCAGGAAATTCTCCATTACACACACAAACTTGCATACCACCATCGTGACTGTAACTAGAAAAACTAGGTATGCTTGAGAATTC